CATCAAGGTCAGGAGCAAGGGAGGATGCACACTATCTCCACTATTATGTAAAATGATTTTGGAGGTATTAGTTAATGAGACAAGAATAAACAACCAGCTGTAAGATTTGGAAAAAGCATTTAGTGAGACAGCAGGATAGATATTTAGCGTACAGAAATCAATAGCTTTCATATTTGCAAACAATAGTCAATTAGAAGGTATAATGGAAGAGAGAGGCCTTTAGACAATAGCAGCAAAATATAAAATACTTAGTAACAAATATGAAAATGAAATTATATGAAATGTACAAAACCCATATGAGGACAACATTGAAACATTCTGGAAAGACATAAAGTAGACTTGAACAAATGGAAAAATATCTATGTTCTTCTAAAAAATAACTGAAGATCATAAGATCAGTATTAATTATAAAATTAATAGTCTCCCAATAAGATATTCCAGTAAGTTTTTATTTGCTTGAACTAGATATGCTTATTTTTAAGCTTCTTTGGGAAAATAAAAATGTAGTATTATCTAGGGAAATCCTAAAAATAAGAACAATGAGTGGGTGTGAGTCCTAAATAATATGGATATTAAAAAAAATCTATAACTAAAATGTGTGGTATTGGGACGTGACTTAACAGAGATAAATGTATAGTATAGACAGTACAAAAATAGACTCAGGTACATATGGAAATTTAATATATAATAAAGGTGGCATTTCAAACCACTGAAAAAATTAAGTTTTTATAAAATCATTTTAGGAAAACTCAATATCCCTTAGGAAAAAGATAAAAGTAATTCCAGACTACCACCCTAACTCTAAAATGACAAAGCTCTAACTTTAAAAATTAAATCTTACCTGTAATAGGAGAAAACATCAGTAAATTCTTTGTAACCTTAGTTTGAAGAAAGCCTTTAAACTATGCATCATCACTTAGAAGTAATATAAGAATATGTTGGTAAACTTGATTTTATAAAGAACAGAAAAAAAATTGGGGAAAAATGCTATCATAACCAATGTCAACACAAAATGACAAACCAGGAGAATATATTTGCAGCATATACCTCACATAAATGGATATAAAGACACAAAGAGCTCTTAAAAAATAAATAAGACCAGAATACAAAGAAATCTGATCGAATAGATAACAGAGACAAACATTAGCAGAGAGTTAGATAAAACAATTATGCAAATGGATTATTGTATATTATACATTATATGTATATATAAGCATTTGTACATATATAGATAAATATAGATGCTCAACTTTTCTTCCAAGCAAAATGCAAGATGAAAATACACTAATATACCTGTCACAAGTTGAGTGTCACAGGAAGCCAACTGTGAAAGAAAGATTAGCCTGCAGGCCAGTTATTACAGAGATCAATAACTCTGGAAAGGAGGAAAAGAAAGCAACATTGGGCAGAAGAATTTGAGTGGCAGAGCCATCTGAATGAAGGTTTCAGCTAACCCCACAGAGAGTTCTGCACTGGGAGAGCCCTTCAGAGAAGTCCCAAGTTAGAGCAAGAGGGCCGGGCTTCTCTATCCCAATATTGATCAGGTTGTCCTTTCAAGGGCTGTTGAAAAGAGGTATGATCTTGGGTGAGGCCATTTTCTTCAGTTCAGGCCGTCTCCAGACTGACAGCTGAGGGCCTTCTTCCAGCAGGACTTGTAGCCACTGGAGAGGTAGGTCCTTCCTTCTAGAAGGGAGTTCTGGTTGGTGTATCATAGCGTCTACCACAGCAACATTTCTCACTTGTCAGATTAGCAAAAATTCAAACAATGAACAGCGTGTTCTGTAACATGTTCATGGGAAGACTGTACTTTCAGGGATCATTTCTGTAGGTCATTATATGTCCATTGGAAAACAGGCGCCTTATACATTACTGGTAGATGTGCAGAATGGTACTTTCCCTATGGAGGAAAATATCCTGAAGATAATTCCCTACACATTAAACCACAAACAAACATATACACAGGGTTAATCAATAAAGCATTATTTGAGATAATAATCACTATAGATTATTTGCATTATTGGAGGCTAGTTGAATGAAGTATGGTACATCCACACAGGCAGAACTATTTAAGAATTAAAAAGAAGATGATATATAACAATTGATATAGAGCACATCCCACAATCTCTCTAATTTGTACATATATATGTAATTAGATTAGCATTTACATTTATAGTAATAAAATATTAATTTTTTAATTATAAAAATCTACCCCCAGAAAAGAAGCATAAATAAGAACCAAATGAAGAAAAGTTTTTTCTACGTGATGAGAATGGGGTGAGATCAAGACTTCTGTCAATGTATATATCCACATATTTATACTTTATTTTTGACCATGTACATATTTTAAAATAAAAAGAATGAGGACATCAAAGCTTAAATGGAAATACTAAGAGAAGATAATACACCTAAAATGTAAATCAAACTGATATGAATTTTAATTGAGGTGTGACTAAGAACGCACACATACACCTACACACACAGAACATATGGACATCTGTCTGGCTGCCTATCTATCTCCTCTGAAAAGGTCCAGAACTAATAACATTAGAGTAGTAATGAGCACACCTAAGCCCAGATCTTGATATCTAAATATCGTAATCCAGTAGAAAATATTCCTTGGAGAAATTATTGATTATGGATATGGGAGATAAGAAGCGATCTTAGAACATCTTACTGTGCAGAAAACAAGGAAGTACTCTAAAACTAACATAATCATTTCCAAAGAATAGAGGGGTTAGCTTGAAGGGGTCCCACTAACCAAAGTTTGTCAATTTCAGCATCATGAAGAATGATAACAACAACAACAAAATAACAGTAATGGAATGTAACACATCAGATTAAAAATGTTTATAATAGTACGAGGAAGAGGGAGATAAAGAGAGTGAACACACGTGAGGGGAAAAAATAGGGAAAGTTCTTTTTACAGAAGAATACCACCTAATAAATATAGAATGGATGTTAGAGTTAGAAAATCACTTCCAAATGATAATTTGTTCAGGGAAAGGTCATGAATGGATACCAAAACTACTGAGTGGAAAGTTCATGGAGGAAAAGTTTTCATGTAATGTGCAAGCATCATCCCACTTTTAACTACAGGGAAAAATGTACTTTACAATGAACATATATCAGTTACCTTGTAAACAGCATTGTTAAGGATGGGAAGAAGTGTAATGGTGTGTTTCCTAATATGAAGCATAAGAGATATCCAATATCACCTATATAATATTCTTGCCAAAAATATTAGCCTAAATTATATCATTTTTAAAAATCAGATAAATCAAAAATACTCTACATATCAGACCACTGGACCAAGAGTCTTAAAAATGGTCAGTGTGGACTTCCCTGGCAGTCCAGTGGTTAAGACTCCACCCTTCCAATGAAGGGGGCACGGGTTCAATCCCTAGTCAGGGAAGTTCCGCATGCCACATTTCGCAGCAATCCCCGCCCCCAAAATGGTCAATGTTGTAGAACTCAAGAAAAGATAGGATAACTTTTACTTTAAAAGAGACTAAAGAGGTGACAACCCACTGCAATTAGGTAGATAGGTAGATATGTAGATAGAAAGATAGATATAGATATGGAGATATTTGTGTTACTTAGGGCAGTGTGGAAATTAGAATACATACTGTATATTTAGATATTAATGTTGTTATTCATAGGTATGCAATTTGCTTATATGAGAAAATACTGTTAATTTTGAGAGATGTATACTGAAATATTTAGAGCTGAAGTAGTCTGATGCTTTCAACTTCCTTTCATATGATTTAGCATATGAAGAAAGGGGGAGAGCAAATATTCAAAATGTTAATGTTTGGTGAATCTAGGTAACGGTTTTATGGGTATTCATGTACTATCCATTAACCTTTCTGTAGATTTGAATATTTTCTTAAAAATAAAGGAATTGAATGAGATACAATTTCACACTCATTAGTTTGACAAAAAATTAAATAGTCTGATGAAATTAACTGTTGGTGAGGAAGTGGATAAAATGTGGAGCAATAGAAACTCACATTGCTAGTAGATTCTAAATCGGCACAACTTTGGAAAATAATGTCACTATTGAGTTAGGTAGGAGACATTTACCTTTTGACCAAGCAGCCCCATTTATCAGTGTTCATCTCAAGAAAATCCTGTCAATGCACCGGGAGACATTAATAAAACTGTTTATAGACAACTTGTTTTTAAGAGCGAAAATTTGGAAAAACTCAAATGTCAAAAAATAAATAAATTTTACTGTATTCATACATACAATAAAATACCATATATCGGGCTTCCCTGGTGGCGCAGTGGTTGAGAGTCCGCCTGCCGATGCAGGGGACACGGGTTCATCCCCCGGTCCGGGAAGATCCTACATGCCGCGGAGCGGCTGGGCCCGTGAGCCATGGCCGCTGAGCCTGCGCGTCCGCAGCCTGTGCTCCGCAACGGGAGAGGCCACAACAGTGAGAGGCCCGCGTACCGCAAAAAACAACAACAACAACAAAAAAAAAAACCATATAGCAGTGAAAATAAACTATGGCTACAAGGGTCAGTGTGATCTCAGAAATAAATTATTGCGTGAAAATAGCAAATCATATAGCAATGCACATCTGTAATGGTTAAAATAATGTAACAGAATCTATTTGGAATGAAGTTTGTTTGAAATATTTTATTTAAAGCTTTCCAAACTGCATAGCTGTCGATCATTTAGATGAGAGTTAACAAGGTCCTGTGTCTGTACCAAATGCCCAGATGACTTCCTATGTCAACATGATGATGCACACGTAATCCTCACCTGGAGATGTTTTCTGAATGGTTTTCCTACAGCATAGGAATAAAGGCACCATCTTACCTGCATCTGTGTTTATGCACATGTGGATATATTCTTAAGATTGAAAGTGAGAAACTCAACATTAGCTGAGAACTAAAGAATTAAAAGTAACACAGGCGGTTAGTACTTTTGTGCTGACCAGAGAGATGCTGTTTAAATAAGAAGAAAATCAATATATTCTATTTCTTTGCAGAGTAAAAGTGAGCAAATTACTGTGCGGCATCTGACATCAGGAAACTGGGAAGTGATAAAGATCCTGGCGTACGATGAAACGACGCAAAAAATGTGAGTGTTTTTGGTTCTCTAGTCAGGTTGGAAGTCACTGTTGTCAAATGCAGTCTTTTCTGCTAGATTTATATTTTGCTTACCATGGTCCTAGTCCAAGTAGCCTGGCCATGTAAAGAACAACCTTTTCTTTAAGATTCTCCCTATACTTCACGCAGAGAGATACTTACACAGACAGTTGCACAGACACATGCACACACACACACACGCACACTCAGAGAGATTGAGAGAGATCATGGAAAAGTGTGACAATATTTTAAGAAACAAATATGCGTTTCCCAAATGGATCAAGTCCTGCCGTTAAATAATAGAAGAGCTCTTGCCTGTTCTTTGACAGTTTGAAAATTCAGGTGAAAACGGTGTGGCAAAAATTGATTGGTGCCTGATGTTTGTGTTGTTTTCTTTCATGGGCAGTTACTTTCTGAGCACCGAGTCGTCTCCCAGAGGGAGGCAGCTGTACAGGTAAGCAATGTGAGAGGATCTTCCTGCACAGGTAGATTCCTCAGGGGCCATCTACACAGCATAATGATGGGATGGAGAAGTCTGACGTTTCCTTTTTGGTATGGCTAGGAGAGAACCAACTCAGTATGACAAAACCCCACACTCTTGGCCCAGTCCCTCAGCTCCGGACCACTGTGAGCATAAAGAATTGGAACTGAAATGGAGACCATCTTATTCCTCCTTTATTTTTTCCCTCATTTGTTTTTACAGTCTCAAAATGTCTTTTTTTTTTTTTTTTTGAGGCTTGCTTTTCTCAACTACCCACATCACAGGCATTTACATATTTTCCCCAGTAGGCTTTTCTTCTGCTATGCCTCATTTATATTTTCATGGCATTAATATTGTACACATGTGATGTATTCCCGAACAGAATAAAAGCATTGTGAACATTTAGTAGAGTGGATCAAGTGGCAGTTTCTCTCCCCCACCCCCCATAATGTGTATAATCCATTGATTGTTATTTAAGCAGGAATGGTCCTTGCTTACTAAAATAAAGCAGTGGATGGGGACTATTTTCATCTGTCCAATTTTCCCGGATGAAAAGTTATATTCATAAAAGGGGTTAAGGTCATACCTATTTAGTGTTAAAAATGTCTCCTCACTCAGAAAGCTTTCACCAGGACCTCCCAAGAATGACTTTTATTTTTGTCTGGCAAGCAACTTACAATTATAGACTCATATACACTTTCTAATTTACATTTCACAGATCCATTTTTAAAGTGTCAAAACTGCCATGGCATATTCTCAGTGGAAATTCATCATGTTTGAAGAAGTGTCACCAATGATTCTTACCAAGTAGCCTAGACTTTCCTTTGAGAGTAAAAATGCATGTTTCAAGTAACTTAACTCTCTCTAATTCATCCACACACTCTTATTTATGCATAAATTGTTTTAATCTGAAGCGAGCCTCTCCTTTTTATCACATATCCCAATATGTCATCTTCACATTCTTTGTTTTTTTTCTCTTAGAGTCTGGAACACATGTTCTCAATTCTAATGGCTTCCAAAAGAAGAACAGCTGTTTATTTAAAGAGAATGATTCTAATTTTGGTTTAGAGGTCTTGGTTAAAGTACCGGTCGCTTTCTCTTTTTGGTTACCTGAAGCTTATCTTTCTTGAAACTTATACTGTGGTTAATAGTGGCAGTCAATAACAGTCCTTTAGAGATGTGGAAATACTGGACCAATGTTTTATTTTTCTCATTTTGTAAAACTCTTAACGAAAAATGACAGTGCCAGAAAATTAGACTTGGCTAAATTCAGCTAGCAGCGCTGCCTCATCCTCTCTCTCCTCCCTTTATTAACCTAAAATGTGATTTGAATCACAGTGGGTTCTTAGATTTGTGTGCTTGTCTTATGTCCCCAGTGACTGAGGCAGAGCAGTACAAAAGTCAATATATCTATGACCTGTACTAGTGCAGAGGGCTGTGTTATAAAGAAAATATAGTACCAATAAATCTCCCTTTAAATGGCTCATCCAGTGCCAGTTTGTTTGACTGTAAGATAATATTAGTGTTTGACCCAGAAAACTCAATCATTGTCTTGTCCAGGCTATAAAAATAATAATTGGTTGATTTAATTTATGGGATTAGATGCTTCTGCAGAATCAGAACTGCTAGCATATTCGGTGTCATTATTTTGTCTCAAAATGTGCTTTTCTCTATTTTAGTAATTCATAATCCAAATAATGAGAAGATACCAACATAACTTTTAGGAAACTTGGATCTGAAAAATTATATGGAAGAGTAGAGAGAGAAAAGGTTTTAAATTCTAGTTATGTCACTAAATAGCTGTGACTAATAGGGACTGGCACACATTCATAGTTTCTGTGGTGATAGTTGTGCAACATTGTGACTGTAATTAATGACATTGAACCATATACTTGAAAAGTGGTTAAAATGTTGAATGTTGTTTTACGTATATACCACAATTTAAAAGAAAAAAAATGGGTATGATTTGTCATAATGGTGAAACTAGCTAATGTGTTTAAGTGCCTAGTATATTAATCACCTTGACTAGAAAAGGAAAATTTTGGATTATAATGAGCCCAAAATGTTTCAAATGTGAAGCTGTGACTTTGTGAACTATACTGTACTATAGTATGTGTTTTGTTCCAAAATGAAATTGAGAATATTTTGTCCAGCCAAGTTTTAAAAAATGTATCATCAACAGTGTTTTCATTTAGAAGCATAGATAATTTACAATTAATCTCTATTTATAAAATAAATGAATCTGTACATGAAATTTAACTTTGGGTTAATATTTCAACCCCTCTAACCTTAAGCACCATTGTTTGTAAAATAAAGAGATGAGTGCTTTTCTCTTTATCTATCTCCTTGATGTCTCAAAGCATGTATGAGCATTAACATTATATATATTATCATACAAAAATAGCTTTTCTTTTCCAAAAATTCAGTGCAACTATTTAGTGGGAAAAATCTGGTACTAATATCAAAATCTAATGTTGAATTTAGGAAATCATGAGCTTTTTATATGTGTGTGACTTGTGAAAACATTAGTTCTTCCAACTAATATTATTGCTGGTGACTTTATGCTTGTCTCTGTGGGTAATTTCTTTTAAGACTTTACAAAGAAATATCTATAAAAATATAAATAAGAATAAGTTATATTGCATCCTGTGACAATCAGTTTCTTTGTAAGCATACATACATATTACATTCATATAGGTGTACATAATTTTAATTTTATTACAGAGAAGAAAAATGCATATGTCTTAACATTAGTAATGGGAATTGACTTTGTTTGCATTTTTATGGTAAGTCATAATTTACAAGGAACCTCAGCTGAGTAATTCTGTAGCTTCTTTGTTTATGTCAATATTTAAATATAGATACCACACATTCAAGGACCTGGAACAATAGCATTTCTAACTTTCTTTTTCTTTCCCCAGTGCTTCTACTGAAGGATTATTGAATCGTCAGTGCATTTCATGTAACTTTATGAAAGAACAATGTACATATTTTGATGCCAGTTTTAGTCCCATGAATAAGCATTTCTTATTACTCTGTAAAGGTAATAGATGATTTCTGATAAAATTTATTTTATTCATTTTATTTGATCAGTATCTATTACTACCATTAGAAATGATTACCCTAGCTGTATGATTTGATATTCTTAGTTTATGTAAGTTTTTGTTAAAAAGTTATAAATTAGGGGTTTATTGAGATAGAAATTGTATCCATTACTTTATTTAAAAGATAGAAATTGGGAGTAAGTCAATATGTGCACATACGCATGATCAATAAGTGCTGGTTGACATGGACCTTTTAAAAAAGTGAATAAACATATTTACATCAGCAAAGTCAAGCTAGAATAATAAACTAATTTACCTAGGCATTAGGAAAAGCAATAGTTTCCTTATTAAAATAATGGCTTGGTTGTTAAAAAATTTAGGACCTATAGAAATTTAATTCCCAGGGTCTAGTCCCCTTCAATTTTGAGAAATTATGTTCACCCCAATTATTTCTTCTATCCGGTAACTATGCTATAGCCTTACATAGTAGTATGGTAACTCTAGGTTATACTGATAGGAATCACTGTCCCTTTAATAGGATACTGTATTTCCCAGAGATGAAATGGGAGATGTCCTCTTATAATGTGATGGGTTGAGTGCTACTGCTTCAGCTGGTACCTTACACATTCGTGTTTTAAGACACCATGAGGAAGAGACCAATACTTTTTCTTTTTAGTTATTTTTCTCTTGACATCTGAAATAAAGTAATCAAAAAAGAGAAGTACTTGTTGGATGACACCAGAGAAAAACCATTAGACCCCTAGGCAGAGTTCCTTAGAGAAGTGAAGTTTTAAGATAACATCTTATGGTTACACTTGATTTATCCTGTATATTTGAAATAATTGACAATTCCAGTTAATGTATTTTTAAAATTAATATATAATTAGTTCCAATTTTTAATTTATCTTGTGGGTGAAATATTTTTTTGCTTTTATTTTTATTTTTTGAATTATTGAATTTTATTTTATTTATTTTTTTATACAGCAGGTTCTTATTAGTTATCTGTTTTATGCATATTAATGTATACATGTCAATCCCAATCTCCCAATTCATCCCACCACTGCCACCACCCCCACCACTTTCCCCCCTTGGTGTCCATACGTTTGTTCTCTACATCTGTGTCTCTGTTTCTGCCCTGCAAACCGGGCTCTAGAGCACAGCCTTAGTAGTTGTGGTGTACGGGCTTGGTTGCTCCACGGCATGTGGGATCTTCCCAGACCAGGGCTTGAACCCGTGTCCCCTGCATTGGCAGGTGGATTCTTAACCACTGTGCCAAAATACTTCTAATATACAAGCATTCTTTCTTTCTTGGCTAAGTGGTAAATAGAATTTAATCTTGAATGAGTGGATGAGGGTTCACAGGGTTGTGAATCAACTTTCTGAACATCAGTGATGATTCTATAAAAGACTAGATAAAAAGAGAGTAAAGTGCATAAGATTGGCTAAAACCATAGAACTATAGAAGTATAGGGCATTTTGGAGAAGGGAGAATTGTAACAATAATCCTGCAAATAGTTTCTTTCCCCGTATATTCTTACTTCTCTGAATAGAATATCCATAGAAAGGAATGAAATCTAATAATCGGGTTTCTGTTTCATTATGTTTTAACTATGAAATGTTATATTTGGAAAAAAGAACTCTATCATGTAATCTTCCAGTAGTTATTACTTAGATGTCTTTAAAATGTTTATACATACATTTCTAAAATCTAGGTCCAGGGGTTCCAGTGGTCAGCCTACATGACACAGACAACCCAGCAAGTAAGTACATGAAGACAACATCATGGTTGGCATTGGTCCTTAGTATTATATTATTTATTCTGACTGTTGTACTCTACAGAGCCTTCTTCAAAGGAGGCCCCAGCCTGAGGAAAGTAGCATAGGCACCATCAACTTGACCTTGTGTGTGTAAGAGAAACATTAAAGCAAAGTGGTTTGAGCCATGTTACAATTGGAGTTGGTTCTTATATGCCTGAAACAGGCTATCTACCGTATCTTAATTGAATGAGGAGTGATTGATGAGACTCATTTAGATATATTTCAGCCTACTGGCCCCTTATACTCTGGTTCATTCTTTCTTGAGCCTCATATAAATTATTCCTCCAGAGCAACACATTTACTTTTGGGAAAAATTATTCAATTGTCCTTCATCTGTTGAGCGAGGACTTACTTGATCAGGCAATATGACAGAGGCTGGGTGTTCATTGCTAGTAAGATGTGGTCAATGTGTTTAAGAACTTTAATAGTAGAGTGTATAAATACAAACATGGCTGAGCTGATCTTAAAAATGAATATCCAGGTTGCTTCCTGCCTCCCTGTTTCCTTCTTTTCATCTATCCTTCTTTTCCTTCTTTCATTTAAAAACTTTATTTAATCAACAAAACTTTATTTAATCAACACTCTCATGCTCTAATGATTTACCATAATCTAGTAAATGAGGCTTATATTTATTAACACACTTACTCCTCAGAACACCCCCTGATGTTGTTAATTTTGTTATCCTTTTTTAAAGATGAGGGAACTGAGCCACAAAGAGGTTAACAAACTTGGCTAGAGTCACTCTAATATAACAGGTGGCAGCGCCAAGAATCAAATAAGATCGTCTGACTCAAGAATAGGGTTTATTATCACTACCATACAATGGTAGCTCATTCTACTGTGTTTTTGGCTGTCTCATCACATACTTAGGTTTAAGTAGTAGTCTTACTTAAATGCTTTGACTTAAAGGAGAGACAGGCATAAAAGTAAAATGTTGAATGACAAATATCATTTTTAGAGGACACAGAAAGACCTTTTAGACTCTTCAAATACCACCATATGGAGACTTCCTGCCTATTCTAGAGAAAGACAAAACTTCTAAATAGTTAATGGAGTTCTGTGTGATTGGAAATCAGTTAGCACATCTTTTAGTTTCTACTTAGTGTAAATCCTAAAGCGGTTATGGTAAGCAAATTAAATCTGTTGAATATTAACACTAACGGCAACAATAATGATAACAAATACATTTGATAAAATAGAAAGAAGGTTGAATTTCACAGATAGAAAAATTAGCGTATAAAGTGAGTCCACCACATACCTTTGTGGGTATAATCTCATAGAATCAATTTCCTTGTAAAAAAAAATAGCAAATGAAATTTCTGTGAGGATGAGATACATTTGCAACATAGACACTCAATAAACAGCAACTATTTGTGTTACATTGCATATTCTGCCAACATGATATATTTTTTTAAATCCCCAACCTGACTTTAATTAATTTTATTCTACTGTTAAAAGGCAATGTTGTTTTCTACTAACTTTTGTTTCAAATCATGACACACTTTCCTCTGAGGGAAACCTTTCTGATTTTCTCATTTATAAGTGAATTCTGATAGTCTCAGGATCAAGAAAAACAAAAAGGGACTGTGAACAGTGATCAGGTGCTTAATTTTATTTTCAAAAGACAATTATTTATTGAGATAAAATTTACATTTGATTGCAAGTAAATCTTTGGGTTAATGGATCTTCGGGTTAATGGATCTTCAGTTTAATATTCATTAAACTAATGAATCAGTCATAACTCATTTTGGGGCCACACGAAGCAGAATAAAGCATGAAAAGTATATTGAAAAATGAAAATATTTAACAAACATGGAAAACCTTTAAACCACCAGTTATCAAAGAAATGCAAAGTAAAACACTGCCAAGTAATTTTTCCTAACAAATTAATAACATCAAAAAATTTACATTGCTAATGAGGATATAATGAGGCTCTCATAAATTGCTGGTAGAAATATAAATTACGGCAAATCTTTTGGAAAAAAATAACCATAAGCCTTAAATCTTTTATATCTATTTACCCTATATTTTTCCTTTTAATAGTTTATACTGAAGAGATATTTAATTATAATGCGATGGATTGAGTGCTACTGCTTCAGCTAGTACCTTACACATTCGTGTTTTAAGACACCATGAGGAAAAGACCAATACTTTTTCTTTTTAGCTATTTTTCTCTTGACATCTGAAATAAAGTAATCAAAAAAGAGAGAAAATTATAACCATGCTACTGATGGTAGTGAAAAAGCATAATAAAAATAATAAAAGGGGTGATTTGTAAATAAACTTTAATGGAATACTGATTTGTGCCCTGAATATCTTCCATTTGTCTTTTCAGAGCCACTCTTAACTGTTTTTCTCTCCCATGGCCTCTACCCCAGCAGGAGTTTGTACTGATGACTTAAGTTCTGCTGCCATTTGGCTGCCAATTGGATCCAGTTAAAGTGAATCCTATAGGTGACTGAAGAGAGGCAGAAAAGTGACTTTGGAGTCTATTTCTCCAGTGCTATCCCTGTGGAGTCACCCAAGTTGCTCTGACTCTTGGGTGAAGGTCACTGTGGATCTTTCATGCAACCAACTCCAAGTAACTGCTCTCTCCTCTTGACCTGCTGGCCTAGCCTTTGTCATAAGCCCTGGGTTATGGTACTACCCCTTATGACCTCCCTGCCCTTTGTCCTATATTTGTAAATAATCCTTTATTAAAATTTCATCAAATTGTTCTAATAGAGTTGCCACTAGTTCCCCACTAGGATTAAAAATAAAAATACATTTTAAAAAGTCAATTCTTCAAAACTGTTTAAGCTATAGTTCTAAGTGTTTAAGGAGTTCACATATTTATGCCACTTAAAATTATTTGAAAATGCATATTAAAATTCCAGAAGACAATATTTGAAAACAGTAAAAGTCTTGTATTTGCCTGGCAGCCTTTCAGATGATTTTTTGTTCTTTTTTCTTAAGTATTTTCCTAATGTTCTACAATGAACATATATTACCTTTATAATGAAAAAGAAACCCTTCATTAAAATGTTCAGTGACGAGATTGGTTCAAGATGGCAGAGTAGAAGGACGTGCTCTCACTCCCTCTTTCGAAAACACCAGAATCACAACTAACTGCTGAACAATCATTGACAGGAAGACACTGGAACTCACTAAAAAAGATACCCCACGTGCAAAGACAAAGGAGAAGCCTCAGTGAGATGGTAGGAGGGGCGCAATCACAACAAAATCAAATCCCATAACTGCTGGGTGGGTGACTCACAAACTGGAGAACACTTACACGACAGAAGTCCACCTACTGTAGTGAAGGTTCTGAGCCCCACGTCAGGCTTCCCAACCTGGGGGTCCGGCAATGAGAGGAGGAATTCCTAGAGAATCAGACTTTGAAGGCTAGCAGGATTTGATTGCAGGACTTCGACAGGACTGGGGGAAACAGAGACTCCACTCTCGGAGGGCACACACAAAGTAGTGTGTGCATCAGGACCCAGAGGAAGGAGCAGTGACCCCATAGGAGACTGAACCAGACCTACCTGCTAGTGTTGGAGGGTCTCCTGAAGAGGCAGGGGGTGGCTGTGCCTCACTGCGAGGACAAAGACACTGGCAGCAGAAGTTCTGGGAAGTACTCCTTGGCGTGAGCCCTCCGGGAGTCCACCATTAGCTCCACCAAACAGCCCAGCTAGGCTCCAGTGTTGGGTCACCTCAGGCCAAACAACCAACAGGGAGGGAGCCCAGCCCCACCCATCAGCAGACAAGTGGATTAAAGTTTTACTGAGCTCTGCCCACCAGAGCAACAGCCAGCTCTACCCACCACCAGTGTCTGCCATCAGGAAACTTGCACAAGCCTCATAGATAGCCTCATCCATCAGAGGGCAGACAGCAGAATCAAGAAGAATTACAGTCCTGCAGCCTGTGGAACAAAAACCACATTCACAGAAAGATAGACAAGATGGAAAGTCAGAGGGCTATGTACCAGATGAAGGAACAAGATAAAACGCCAGAAAAACAACTAAATGAAACGGAGATAGGCAATCTTCCAGAAAAAAAATTCAGAATAATGTTAGTGAAGATGATCCAGGACCTTGGAAAAAGAATGGAGGCAAAGATCTAGAAGATGCAAGAAATGTTTAACAAACACCTAGAAGAATTAAAGAACAAAAAAACAGAGATGAACAATACAATAACTGAAATGAAAACTACACTAGAAGGAATCAATAGAAGAATAACTGAGGCAGAAGAACATATAAGTAACCTGGAAGACAGAATGGTGGAATTCACTGCCATGGAACAGAATAAAGAAAAAAGAATGAAAAGAAATGAAGACAGCCTAAGAGACCTCTGGGACAACATTGAACACAACAACATTCACGTTATAGGGGTCCCAGAAGGAGAAGAGAGAGAGAAAGGACCCGAGAAAATATTTGAAGAGATTATAGTCAAAAACTTCCCTAAAATGGAAGAGGAAATAGCCACCCAAGTCCAGGAAGTTCAGAGAGTCCCATACAGGATAAATCCAAGGAGAAACACACTGAGACACACTGTAATCAAACTGGCAAAACTTAAAGGCAAAGAAAAATTTTAGAAAGCAGCAAGGGAAAAATGACAAATAAAATACAAGGGAACTCTGATAAGGTTAACAGCTGATTTCTCAGCAGAAACTCTACAAGCCAGAAGGGAGTGGCATGATATACTTAAAGTGAGGAAAGGAAAGAAACTACAACCAAGATTACTCTACAGAGCAAGGACCTCATCCAGATTCAATGGAGAAATCAAAAGCTTTACAGACAAGCAAAAGCTAAGAGAATTCAGCATCACCAAACCAACTCTACAACAAATGCTAAAGGAACTTCTCTAAGTGGAAACACAAGAGAAGAAAAGGACCTACAAAAACAAACCCAAAACAATTAAGAAAATGGTCATAGGAACATACATATTGATAATTACCTTAAACC